TGGGATACCATCCCTTGAACCGGAACTTGGTCCAGAGGCCACCATTGGCTCTTCATCAGGATGTAAAGGTTGAGCTGGTACATCTAACTTACTATCAGGCTGAATTACCTTCTTGACAATTTTCTTGAAATCAGACTTGGCCGGATTCGGCACCTGTGCTGGCTTAGGCTCTGATCCCTTGAATCTCTTGCAACCTTCTTTGTTTGTGTGTGGTCGATGTTTACCATTACATGCTGGACATGTGATGTCTTCGGACTGAAAGCTGTACATCGGTTTCCAACTGGAAGTAGCAAGAGCCATAATGTCAAGAACTGGATGGTTGGATGTACTGACCGCCAATGCGGTGCGTTGCATTCCAAACAGTGGACAAGTCATGAATTCACCTACCGGAGTGTGCTCAATGTTCATGCGAAGATTCCTCATTTGTTCAACTGAAAAGAGGATAGGAACCTTACCTTTGTCCAGGATGTCAACGCATGTTGTTATCCAACCAGTCTGTGCACGATCATTGCGAAAATGTATCACTAATCTTTCTTTGACAGTAGATTGTTCTCCATTGGCAAATGAAAACTTACTTGAACATGGTTGCTTGGAAAACCAAATGTGATCACGCTTAGGGTGTTGTTGGCAAGCCTGTACAAGGCGATCAATGGCAAAGCGGGATCCCATGGCTCGAGTGCAACCTGAGTCAAGGATGACATCAGTCGGATGAGAACCTAAATCTACATACTCACAAAGCAATGCTTGTTGGGCACCATGATCATAATTGAGAAATACACACTCTTCCGTGAAAACGGAATTGAGCGGGCTTGTGTGCGGCTGAAACGAATGCAGATCACCGATTTCGGTAGAAACACTCTTCTCAACTTGGCGGATGCTCTTAAACAGGGACCTGTTCAAATCAGAAAAGCACTGGTACATCAAAGACACGAACAGAAGCACGAATGTGAGGGCTTCTACAAGTTCGTGTCCGAACAATCGGAACAAGCGAATGCCTGAAAAACAGAACCGGTTGATCTTGTCGGTCTGTCCGTCCTCAGAAATGATGTCTGAATGCTTGTCCTCGGATTCGGTCAGTTCCTCAGCGGAAGCAAAGTAAGACCAATTGTACCAATCACCTTGGGAGTAATCTCCATCGTATCCATAGTAGGATTCATAACCTGACCAGTCATCTGTCCAATAGGTGTCATAGTCATAACCCCAGCTTTCTTCGGCATGGGCTGTTTCTTGTTTTTCAGGGGCTTGTGATGCACTAGATGTTGCAGCCTGTGCTACATTAGCTTGTGGAGGTTGTGACATGAATGGATTGTTTCCTCCCTTCTTCTTCGCATCACCTTTTCCTTTTCCTTTCCATGAAGGCATTCCTTTGAAAGAATCCTTTCCTTTCATCATTCCTTTCTTGCCCTTTTTACTTTTTCCTTTGCCCTTGCCTTTTCCCCAGAAAGCTGTGTCTTGCTGGTCATCTTCCCATGCTGCAAAACCCTTGCCTTTTGACCTCGGGCGGAAGCCGGGTCTTGATCTTTTTCCTCCTTTCTTGCCATAACCTTTTGGTTTACCTTTCTTGAAGGACCTGCCGTAGATACGGCGCTTAGAGTATGAACCCTTGGCGCTGAGAACCCAGAACTCGTTCTCTGTGTACAGACCTGTGAAACCTTCTTCACCCGTCTCTTCATCGAAGACCCAAAATCCGTACTCACCTTCCTCGGTCTCGCCCTCGTCGATGACGTAGAAGTTGGACCGCTTGCGGTGCGTGATGTTTGGGTCGGCAACACCTGTGCGAGAAACGGCAAAAAGTTCTAAGAACAGCTGTTTCACCTGGAGATAGGTATACTGAGGCATTGCAATCTGACGGATGTTCATGGACGAGACAAAACGCTCACGTTGTTGCTCGTTGAGGTCTGCTTGAACTAGGAAAATCAGTGACATCAAATTGTCTGACAATGGAAACTGCTGTGCATGTCTGGTCCTTCTATTGGTTATGGTCTGTTCTCGGAGTTCTTGTTGATAAGCTAGCTTATCTTCATCTGTTACTATTCCATTATAGTGCAGTCTTTGCTCATCTGTGAGTGCTGCCGTAAATGCCGGAGTGCCTGCTTCGGGAAGATCGGATATGTCCAGCAGATCGGACCAAGAAGCCAACAAACGCTTCTGAGCGATTTCGAATCGCCCTATCCAGTGCACGAATTCACTCTGGCCTCGATATGTGCGAAACATCTGGAGGAATTGCCAAAGGAACACATGATTTACTCCCTTCACGAAGTATGGTCTCAATGTGTCCTTGAAATGAGCGAGGCCACGATCCGGATCTCGGAGTAGGGCATTATCGAGCATCGACTTATAAAAAGAAGCGGAACCAATGAGGGCATTCTTTAATGATGGTCCGTGCTTATCTGCATCCAATGTTGTGATCCCTAACTAGTCATCAATTAAATCTTCATATTCAAACCAGCTAGATTGGCCATCAAATTGGGGTGGAACCTTCGGTGTCATTTTGATGCCCATCCGGTTTTCGGAATGACTGGTGGCGGCATATGCTTCCGGCTCTTCATAAGAGACAATTTGGAGCTGTTCTTCATCTGAATCCATGTTGTGGATTAAGACCATGGCAGCTACTCTAACTTGACCTACAGGTTGCCTCCGCAAGTCCGATATACGGAATGTATGCAGAGAACGGCAGTTCGGCACACAGATCTAGACTTGGCGAAGGCACAGGCTCCGCTACCACTTTGAGGTAGCTTTCCCCTTTTTGGGAGCCCTGGAAACTAATCTTCAACACCTGTGGCAAGCAAGAGCGACGGCACTCTTTTTCTATGCTGCGGTTTGCTGCCAGTCTTGAGCCATGCAGAGTGCGCATGAAAGATATGAATTAAGAGTACATGTCAACATGCATGAAAGCATTGTGTAGACACGTAAAACAAAATAAGTAACAGGGGGAAAAGTGAAAATTCCCTAGCTTGGGGAGCCCCCACGGGGGGGGGAAGTGAAAATTCTTAGCTTGGGAAGCCCCCACGGGAGAAAAGTGAAAATTCCGTCGCTTGGGAAGCCCCCATGGGGGGGAAAAGCGAAAATTCCCTAGCTTGGGAAGCCTCCACAGGGGGGAAAAGTGAAAATTCTCGCCTGGGAAGCCTCTACGGGGGGGAAAAGTGAAAATTGCTTAGCTTGGGAAGCCCCAATTGGAAGCATTGTCGAACATGATGTTTTCGACCGGTTTTATGGCGACAAAAGTGTAAAGTACCGTGCTTTGAAGGAAACCATTGCAAAAACATGGAAACACATTCAAAGAACACGGGATTTGGGGGACTATCTAGGCGTCGTTGTCTAGCTCTCTCCTGTGCTGCTCTGCTCCTCATATTCCACACCACCCTTAGCCCCTCTCACGGACCGAAATAAACCTGCGGTGTGGGCGGCCACCCCACGCGAAGCGGGGTGAATATATTACAGATCATACTGGCATTGATCCTGAAGTCCCAAGTGGTCAATGTATGGGTATGGTATGGCCCACAAAAAAGGGGTGTACACAGAAATACACAGAATATGTTGTGATAAAATCGCTATGATTATTGCCAATTCAACCAGTGCAAGTGCAAACTCACCGACTCTAGTTGCATCTGAAACTGCAGCTAAGACACCTGGATGTGAATTATCCCAACAACTATGGCAGAATCCATAGTCATCAAGATGGCTCACATCAAGACCGCACATCTCGATCAAGACCTGTGGCAGTGTGGCAGGAAACACATACGAGCTACTTGGCCACATCACAACTGACTGGCCGATTTTGCTCATGAATATAATTCCCTACGGTAACCGTATGCTTTCCCCAGCAGGATTCTGTCACAGTAGCTCCAAAGCCCAAAGCATCGGTACTCTGCAAGATCTGTCACAAAAAAACATGTGGATCCACAGCCAAGCAATGCCAGGGCAGCTTCCTTCTGGATGGAAAAGTCTTTTCTGGATGGAAAAGAAACCTTGTTGATGGTTCAAACCCAGCCCACTTGCTCCAAGTGAGTCTAGTTGATGAACATGCCAAAGGTTCTGTGTCGAGTAGCGACAATACTTCTTCAACATATACAGAGATGTGAAGAGATTAACATGAAACCGCAAGAACCATGGAGAAAGAAACAACATCGCCTGAATGATCAGCATGAAGGGCAGGGGGGCGCATGCTTCCGCCATCTGATCCAATCCATATTGAAGGCAAAACTTTGCATATTCCCTGGCCTTTGGGCGGGTTCTTCAGCGGAAGCATGTCAAGAGTCCCGTTAAAGTGCGAAAACATCGCAGATCTCCGAAGACAGTGGAACAACTCTGAATGACTGACATGTAAGGAACCATCTGTTGCAAACAGATTTGTTGAGCATGCACGGAAAGGATCGGAAAGGGATACATGCAAGATATCGAGGTCTTTGAGCTAGACCCCCCAGCTGGCGGACTGTAATCCTTGAGACAACAAAGTCTGGTGATGTTCAGGTCATGGTTTTGTTATCTGGGCATCCTCCCCAGTGACTCAGATCATCTCAGATCGGTGGTGAAATCCTCAGTGATTGGACCAAATGACTCTTGGGAAACCATGTCAAATTGAATGATCTAGCAATAAGCTCTTCCCTTACCTGGTGACTGTTGCCGAAGTTGCGTGCCTTTTGGGTCGCAACCCGTCTTGGCTGAATCTGGCCCAGCCCCAACTCTGCAACGCTACAAGTGCTAGCCAAGGTGGACAAACTAGACAACTTGTTGCACCAAAATAGGCATGCCGAGCCCCAGTTTGGACACAAGAAATGGTCATTTCTGCATCAGTGTTGATGATAAAGAGGCAACTGCTCAAACAAGACTTCCATTGCTGCGTTATCCGGGCATTCCATATCCTGTAAGACTCGCCATTAGCAATCTGACGACCTGCAAACCCTGCCACAGTAACCCGCTTTTTTGAACACAAAGAAATGTTGTGAGCGCAAACTTTGACGCCAAAACAGTCGATCATTGGTTGAAAGAATCTGGATCTCTCACCCAGAGTCGTGGGACCTGAGCAACATCCAAACCACTGGTGGGGCTTAAGTTTAAACCTGAGAAAATTCAGTTGTTAGAGCCGGTGTGGGCCGACCCGCAAGTGAAAACTGTATCAAAAGGAACCTCGACAACCGGTAAGTAATGTTCCTATGCAAAAATGACTCGTGAATTGTTGAGTTAGTGGGGGTGTAAACAGGCTATAAGCTGTGGCTGAGACTGGTAGATGTAGGTGCCATATTGAACATGTTCGGTCAAGTACGCAGTTGGAAATCATGGAGGCCCAGCGATCCCGCGAGGTCCCAATCCCTGAGGTCCCAATCCAAAGTGGCAGATTTCCAGCCCCAGCTTCATGTCGTATCAATGTTACGTGCCATGAACTGAGCCTCCGCACCCCAGCACCATCCCGCCTACCACACCAGCTTGCGTTTCGGAGCTGCAGAAATCTGGGTCTCGCTGAAAACGTTCACCACTTCAAACCATCCGCCAACAAGTTATCCATGTCTTGAATCCTAGCGGTTTCACCTTTCTCAAGATACCATGTACTGGTGATCGAACAAATTAGTAGAATGTACTTTTTACGTCGTCTCACCTGTTGAAATCACTTTAAGGTTTTGGCTAATCTTAACTCCTTGTTTGCACCTGCCCCTGAGTTTCCGCCGTTGAATGTCATCGGTTCCCCCGAAAATTTCAGGGTGGAGAAACACCTGGCCAGCCCCTGTGCACCTGGCACCCTTCGGCGTGGGCCCAGGTCTTTACCCCGGCACCTTGCAAGTTGGAAGAGGGCTGGTCAACTTTCCAAGATGTCCAAGCTCTGACAGCTCTGTAAGACAGAGAGAAGGAAGACAAGAACAGTTCTAAAATGTTTCAAACATCATATTTCCTGAGCAACGTCAAACCCTATCCTGTCCATTTTTGGAAGGTTTGTCTCTCTTCGTTGTGTTTGCACCATCGGTTCATGGGCCGCTGGAACCTGTCACCCACCTCAACCTGGGTCAAATTACGGAACAAACTACAGTAAACGCTTGACCCTGTTTGTTTTTGACGCATGTGGAGCTGAAGGCAAAAAAAAGTTGATGCCAACGGCAATCCTTGCTGTCAGGCCGCTTCTGGCTTCCATCAAGTTTGAGCTGCTCAACACTGCTGTGTGTTGTCGAAGCGGCCAACGTTTGGAACTCGTTCCCGTCTGGGTTTGTTTCAGCCTGGACGGGCATGAGATAGACATGCATGAAAACTTCAGCTGGATAAAAAAACAACAAGTGTCTGAAACAATTCCTGAACACAACTTGAGGGAACGTACGAACCTGACACAGTGTGAGGAACTTCGATACAGTCTGCGCCATCATCTGCAAAGAACCCCAACCTGCCAAACAACCAAATTTCGGATGCAGTGACAAAAACTACATTCAGCGGCAGTTTGCTGAGAGCACCGCCAATGGGCTGGCAAATGTGCATGGCAGCTGCGTCCTCGTTGCAAAACAAAACAAAATTGGTTCCACATAGAGCGCCGTCGAAAATGTTGATGTTATCGTAAGGACACAAAAAAAGGAAAGGATTTGGAAAACATAGTATTTTCCGGTGTTTCATTGGTCGATGGACTGGGGGTCAATTCCAGGAGTCGCCAAACAACAGCTGCCTCTCAAAAAAGATAAGATGATGACGACGACAACCACCACAACAACAAGAACAACAACAACAACAACAAGAAGAAGAAGCATCCCGGGAAAAACAGGATTTGAATCTACTCCCTTGTCCCATCCTCATCCACCTCAGCATCAAATCGACGCTCTAGGGCTGCCCTGCGGTGGCGGCTTCAAAGGTCACAGCACATTGCTGACAAAGGCGAACCTTGCCTGTCTTCACAAAGACCAAGCAAAGCACGCTCTGAAGCAAGGAAGTTGTCCTGAAAAATTGCTAGAAATGAGTTATGACTGCATATTTTTTAAAAATGAACTTGTGATTGTCACCACCCTTGCTCTGCTTCCAGTGCTTCAATCCTTCTCACAGGGGTTGTATTGCCCAAACTCCCTCATCGCATCTGCACAAAGTGATTCTGCCGTAGAACCATAGGCTGGCCTGAGAGCACGAAACGCACCAATCACAGTCTTGATTACCTGACCGCCATACAAATTCAACATGTGCCTACTCAGCTTTGGAGGAACCCAGCCCAAGTCCATGCGTTCCGGGATCGGAAGCGAGCCCAAGTCCTGCCATGTTCAAAGAGATCCCGGACATGTGAAAATCATAAAGGATGCCCCACTTCAAAAAACTTCACGCAACGACACTCAAACCGGTCCTTCTCACTGTTTTCACCCTCAAATAGCCTGACAACAAATGAAATCACAGTACAGTCACTGAGTCACAAACTGATGCAACAGCTCTTGCAAATCTTTGACCCTGTGGTGCGCATCCAAGCTGCACATGCGCCTGAGTTTTGGAAGATCCAACACGGTGCGGAATGGAACCCAAATTAGAGTCCTGCCAGGTTCCACGACACTATTTCCGCACTGCGGTGACATAATGGAAAGAACACTGCAAAGCAGGGGACTGGACATTTTTTGAGCCTTGGAATGGTCTACAACTTTTGACAGATTTGCTCAAAGCTAAGCTGCAGTGTGACTGCTGTGCTGCAGCAGCAACAGCAGCAGCAGCAGAACTTAAGACCAAAGGACCGAGCACAACTTAGCGGCAGCTGGTTTTGCTTGAGTGTAGTTTCTGCTAACATCCTGTAATATCCTGTAACATCCTTCCCAAAATCTGGCAGTTGTGCTTGTCAGCACAAAACATCTGACGGCGCAAACTTTCCGGATATCTTCATGAAACTGTTGCTCAGGTGACAAGGGTTTTAAAAATATGTGCAAAGTCTACCCATTAATCCAGAAGAACTACCACCAAAGCAACTTCAAACAAACCTCAAGCCATCAAACTCAAACCGGTCCTTCTCACTGTTTTCACCCTCAAATAGCCTGACACAAGCAACAAATGAAATCACAGTCACAAACTGATGCAACAGCTCTTGCAAATCTTTGACCCTGTGGTGCGCATCCAAGCTGCACATGCGCCTGAGTTTTGGAAGATCCAACACGGTGCCCACCGGAATGGAACCCAAATTAGAGTCCTGCCAGGTTCCACGACACTATTTCCGCACTGCGGTGACATAATGGAAAGAACACTGCAAAGCAGGGGACTGGACATTTTTTGAGCCTTGGAATGGTCTACAACTTTTGACAGATTTGCTCAAAGCTAAGCTGCAGTGTGACTGCTGTGCTGCAGCAGCAACAGCAGCAGCAGCAGAACTTAAGACCAAAGGACCGAGCACAACTTAGCGGCAGCTGGTGTTGCTTGAGTGTAGTTTCTGCTAACATCCTGTAATATCCTGTAACATCCTTCCCAAAATCTCGCGGTTGTCATTGTTGGCACGAATAATTTGTTTGAAGTATGTCTCGCACATCTCGCGCATCTTTAAGATACCGTTTGTGCAGGTGACATCACTTCGCAAACGTTCAGATTCTTTAATCCTTGGCGACATGCTATGAGAAGAAACTCAAGCTCATGGCCTTGTTGAAACAGTCTTTCTTACCATCGCCGGCAGCACATGATTCACCTTGAAGCATTTGTGAAGACTTCGTGTCCTGCGAAGGTTAGACATTTTTTTCCCGACAGTATTGACACGCTTCAGAACAAAGTCTTGCTACACGGCTGCACTCCCAGCCACACCTACAGGATCCTACAGGTGGGTATCTGCTAAAGGCCCTCAAGAAGTCAACTTATGAGGAGTTTGGAGCAAGTCTTGTGGGTGCAATCCAAGACCGCCCTTCATCACAGATGCCAACAGAATCTACTATGAACTCAGGAACCTCAAACATCTTTTAAACTAGGCCCACACACACACCCTAGGCAATCCTCCTCATCATCGTTCAGCCATTCAAGCCACCCCGTACTATCTGCACCGATTGACTCTGTCGTGGAAGCGTAGGATGGCCTGAATGCAAGGTAAACCACCGATCGCAAGCCTCCTTCAAGAAGAGCTTTGACAAAGACTTGGAAACAAGCATGAGAAAACGGAGACAAAATCAAAGCGTTGCAATCTGATTGCAAGGGATGGTCTGTTGAACACAGCATTGCTACAAAAAAGAGTGCAAGTGCATGCTGCGCGGGTACAATCTGAATGCAAGTGCCAAGTATTGTATGAGCGTTCTGAGATAGATAGATATAGGTAGACGTAGATAGAAATAGGTAGACATAGATAGAAATGGATAGAAATAGATAAGCATAGATAAACATAGATAAACATAGATAAACATAGATAAACATAGATAGACATACATACATACCAGACCAGACCAGACCAGACCATCCATGCATGCATGCATCCATGCATGCATACATACATAGATAGATAGATAGATAGACAGACATATATACATAGACAGAGATAAACATAGATAGACACAGATAGACATAGATAGACATAGATAGAATTAGATAGACATAGATAGACATAGATAGGCATAGATAGACATAGATAGACATAGATAGACATAGATAGATCGATGGATAGATAGATCGATAGATGGATAGATGGATAGATGGATAGATGGATAGATGGATGGATGGATGGATGGATAGATAGATAGGAAGGAAGGAAGGAAGGAAGGAAGGCCAGTTTCGACCCATCATCCTGGCAGTGCTTCTCTTGGTTGAAGGGCAAGTCAGAGAACGCAGTATGCAAAAATGAAAGCCTCAGAGAAGAAAGATGTTTTAAATTAAGAAAAAAACTGAGATTCAGAGGGAAAAGGCTAGGGAAGAGGAAGAAGCAGCAAAGGGAAGAAGAGGAGAACTTTGGTGCTGGAACAAGTGAAACGTATCCCACCCCCAACCAGGCCAGGCCCGTTTGAGCCACTCATCTCCGCGCATGCCAGGTGGAATTCAGCGGGACGGCCACAGCAAAGATTGGTTTCACAATGGACATCCAATGGACATCTGACGATGCATTCGAGCAAAGGCGTTCGAGCAAAGGCACCTGCTCAGGTTTGGAGGAGTCCAGGCCATGCCGATGCTTGGGACGAAAGTGTCCTGCCACCATGATAGTTGGTAAATCCTAAGCTACTTGCCATGGTCTGTTTCACTGACATCCGAATTGGAAACAAGTAATTAGGTCACTCAGGTGTCACCCGAAGCCACTTCCCGCTGCACGCATTAAGCAGTCCTTCTGTGACACACTGAGCCACTCATACTCCGAGTTGTTCACAGCAGGTGATGCTGTCGTCGAACGATTCGATGGCCTGAGGGTATGCAGGGGTATGCATCTAAATAGACCACTCACAGCCCTGTATTTGATGCAAGTAAGGAAGATACTGGTACATGTCATGCCTTCTTTGTGAAGTAGTCCAATGCGGCTGGCAAATCCCTTGGCTCAAGCACAAAAGCACTTCGATTTGCCACATGGCAAGTCTTGCATGTCTTGCATAGAAGGAAATAAGGGGCCGGAGAACCCACAAGCAAAATGATAAAAGTGAGACCAGTGGAGAATTCGCCCAAAAAGGAATATGTTTTGGTATTTTGACCGTTTTCTTTGACAGAAAAGTGTCCCTATCCATCACGCCTAAACACGACAAAACCCCTTTTTTACTGCCCCATGAACTTCAGCCATAGTAAAGGTGCTGGAGCAGGTGACCGAAGGTTTCCTAGGTCCTAGGTCCTATGCCCAGCTTGCTGAAATCCCAAGCACGGTTGCCAAATGAAACTGGGGCAAGCAAATTACACGCGTCCAAAGTTTCCACAGAGGATGCTCATCAGACTGGTTCCAAGTGTATTGTAAAGGGCCCAAGTGGCCATTCTAATTTTTGAAAGATTTCAACGATGTTTAATAAGTTTCCTATGGGTTTTGAAAGAGTTATATACTTGGCAAAAATCGATTTTACCAGGCATGGTTGACAATGGGATTTTTCTTTCAGGCTTTGCTTGGCAGAATGCAATTTTGGAGGGCACACTTGACTGCGGGTTTTAGCTTACAGATCCTACCTGTGTTGGGAAATGTCAAAAAATATCAGGCATACTTGACAACCTGCGTTCCCTTTCAGATTTTGCCTGTCAAAAAAATAGCAAACATATTTGACAGCGCGTTTTCTCTTTCAGACTTTCTCTTTCTGATTTTTGCTTGAAACATGTTTTTTCTCTCAGTCTTTCCTTGGCAGAATGCCAAGCAAGCATGCCTCACGATGTGTTTGAATTTCAGACTTCACTTGGCCAAACACCATCTTGGCCGGCATAAATGCAATTTTATCCTGTCCACTTGACAAATGTTTTTGCCTTTCCTGATTCACTTGCCATCACTTAGCAAAATGACCTTTTACAAAAGATGCTTGATAACTCGTTTTCCCCTGTGATTCTACTTGACAATATTCCATATCACTATGTATAATTGATACCTTGCTGTCTCTACCAGTTGTACTTGGCAAAATGTTATTTTACCAAACACGCTTGGCGACGGGCTCTCTCTTCAGGTTTTTGGGCAACACTGCAGTTTACCAAGTTTCTAACTATACCTATACAACTCATTTCACTGTTGAATGTTAGGTAGCAAAACTCAATTTTCCAGGCAATAGGTTCTGGCCAGCGCGCTTCAATTTCTTGACACTGGGAACACGTTTTACCATCCTTGTAGCGCTCTGATAAGCAAAACATACACCAGCAAGAGGAACCAGTTCCCTCACTCCCTTGCACCCAGTTTAGGCAAACCCTCCTCCCGCTCAAGCAGCACACACACACACACGCGCGCGCGCACACACCCCGCTCACAATTGTCCCACCAAGCACAAACACCACAACCCCCGCCAGAACGCAAACACTCGCTCCCCTCGCAACTGGGCATGGTCTTCTGACACGTACTTGACTAGCCTATAATTTTCTTTCTCTACTACTCTTGTCTCCTCGAGTCTACTCTTGTCTACTCCCGTCTGCTCTTATGTAGCCTTGTCTACTCTTGCCTGCTCTTGTCTACTCTACCCTGCGGTTCCCTTTTGCTGCATCAGTTGATTCCTTGGTACTGTATCTCATCGTGGGTTTTGTTTGTCAGGTTTATTCTAATGTTGTGTTCTGATGATGCTAGGTTTCCAAGACAGGAATAAATATGATTCTCGCTGAGGGTCGGAGGTTGGCATTCCCATGATGAGATTCTAGTCTACTCTGCTCTATTCTACGCTGCGCTACACTACTATACCACTCTACCGACTCTACCCTACACCCTACTCAGCACCCTCCTTTGTTCTGCTCTTCTCCTAGTGGTTGTTTTCCATGGGTTCCATAGGCCCCACGGGCACCATGGGACCCACAGTCCATCACCAAAGACGAGATCCCCCTCGCCGAAAGCAGACTACACAAGAACCCTTCGCATCAAATGAAACACTCGATCTCAAACTCCGGACTGGGGGAAGCACAGCTACAAAATCCTCCGCACCACATCCATGTAGTCATTTCCATGGCTCCACAGTCCAAATCCAATGCTCTCAACTTACCACTTGACAAGTGGATGCGCAATGATGCACTTCAGCACAAATTCACTCATAAATTTTTGCACCTCGTGGAACAGTTGATGGTTTGGTTCGAATTTTGGCTCTTGAATGCTCTTGAGATCTTTTTGTGAGCTGCGGGATTCCGAGGTTCATATCGGCAAGCAATTTTTCGTAATTGCTGCTAACCTGCCAAATGTGTCACTGAAAATGCCGTCATTGTCATGTCTTTGTCACTGCAAGTTTTTGTTATGTGTCTGAAAACAACCTATATAGTTAAAATGCAAACGCCATTGTTGGAATCTGTTGCCAAGGATGGGTTTTGGCCAACATGTATCACTTGGCAGTTTTCAGCAATCTCTACAAATTTTTAACCGGTTCTGCAACTGTCACCATCTACGCAGAATACTGCTGCCATTCAAACCCACACATGGAAAGAGCACTCTCACAACCGCAAAGTGCTTCCCATTACCACATACTTTTCCTTGCAGACTGTAAAGGCCCTCTGGCAAAGTTTTCCCAAGTTGGCAGTGTCTTGCAATGAGTTCGTCAAATGTTTAAATTTCTAGACACCTAGATAGCAGAGGTAAAGCAGCGGAGATCTCAGGAGAAAAAACAACGATGCGAAATGGATTGCAGCACGCAATTGGCTAGAAACCAGCTCTGGCCTGAGGAGCTGTCATGCACACATATGCACACAATTTAAGGCGCAGCTGTCAATTTTTTTTGATAAATTTTATTGTTCAAACTGCTACAGCTGGCAGGGATCATTGGATCATTCTTTCAAATCCGATTCTTGCAAGCAATCTTCTGGTACGGTAAAAACCTTTTTTTCTGCGAAGCAGGCAGCGTTTCTTTTTCAGCCAAAAGGGGCCTCAGGATTCATGTGATATTTCCACATGTGAATGGTGGGAAAATTTGTTACGCTCATCTCGATTTGTACAAGTCATCCAATGCTGTTCCAAGGCAGTCTCAACCAAAGGAAATTCTCCGCACTCCTCCTTGGAAGTGCGAGCGGGGCTCACGGTTCCACTGCATTTTTTTTCTCCAGTTGTTGTTGCGGTTTTCCAGTTCTTGTATCGGAAATCTCACATTCCGCCAAAGAAATTTCTGCTTTGCAAAAGTTTTCACCTGTTGTAGATACCTGCCACTGCCTCATATCGATCAGTGGTATCCTATCGATGCTGCGATCTGGTTGTTTCAGCCATCTGCCTGAAAGTTTCTACCACTCTCCTTCGAAGTGGCTGCGCCGTCTCAGCTGTCAAGCCAGTTTGGGTGACCTGCAGAATCCCAAACATCAATGTTCTGAATGGTCGCTGAATCTCCGATGTCTCCATCTATGAGGCATAGTCTTTGCTCTTGCTTCAAGGCCTCATACATCTCTGAAATTGAAGGTCCATACTGACTTCTTTCACGGGTAGTTTCCACCTCCATGTCATCCTCTGGATTTTCACTCTCACCTCCTTCGTGTCCACCAGGCGCGTCAGTCAGCTCTGCCAACTGGTCCTCCACGTTGCCTCACAAGTTGCATGTAGGCTGCAGTACCCATCGTGTGAGATGCCTGCATGTTGGCACGTTCAAGCGTATTGAGAAGGATGCATTGTTCATTTGTAAGACCCAATCCATTTTGCAAGAAACCTCCTCCTTCAACCAACGCGTAGTGAACTCCAGACACGTAGTCGTGTGTCATACTGAGCTCGTTGATCCTTTCAGTCACACGCTCACCCAGATCGTAGAATATTCCATCCAGCATGTCAATTCGATTCGCCTGTTGAACAATGTAAGCATCTTCAACGCCCACTTGATTCCAGCAATGAACATGTCATGGCTCAGTCTCCTCCAAGCCATGTATGCCGCCACTGCAAAAGCTGTCCAAAGCCAAAACATGAAAGCCAGTGCAAGCCATAGCCACCAAGTCTCAGAACTGTTTGTGACCTGTTGGTCCGCAGCAATGCATGTCCCACCATCGTCAACAGTGATCTCAGCTGCTTCTGCACCATTCTGAGCAAGTGACTCAAGACCCCACAAAGCTGCCATCCTTAAAATTGTTTTTGCAACACGCTTCAAAATTTGCTGTCCAACCAAGCGACTTGAAACTGCATCAAACTCCTCCTGGCCAATCATCTCCAAGTTGATGGGATCCATGGCTCCAATTTGATTCAGCAGAATCATCAAGCGGCTTTTGTTCAAGGGTTTGGTCCCTATGTCGCTGTAGTTCCACTCTGTGGGTATCTGGCCAACTGCCAGTTGCTTGGTGACTTGTATCCACAACACCTTTCCACTGAGGTGTCGAATCCTTCCAACTCCCTGTTTGGATACCAACTGCCTTGATGCACTGTTGTCGGTCCATTGATAGTGCTGCACCTCCTTTCCTGTCAGGAACTCCAAACACCTTTTGATGTAGATTCCATCTGAGCAACCAGACACCATGCTGTGAAGTTCGCTCTCAGCTGAAGACAAGGAGACAATTCGCTGGCTCCTTGAAGAAGCGTAGACAAAACTCCCGTTGACAAAGTGAATGGCGCTGGAAGTTGATTTTCGATGCTGCTTGTTGGCTGACCGGTCTGCATCCGTGGAAGTCTCCGCAGGCCAGACTTGCTCACCTCCTGACTTCCACTTCCCTGAGCCTGACTCGGGTACAACCAGCTTGACACCCATGCCCCCACTGGTCTTCAGGTACCCAATGACCTTGCGCAGGCGTTGCAAAGCGCACAAAGTCGGTGCAGACATGTAAATGGCCAGCTCCTTCACAGCAAACATCACGTCCATCCTTTCTCTTGCAAGGTAGAGCAGCAAACCAATCACACTGCGGTAAGATCTTCCATCAGCTGCTGTCAACTGCTGAGAGGTGTCAGGGTTTTGGATTGAACTGTCACAGGGAATCTTCTGAGCACGTGCATGTCCAAAAGCCTTCTCGAAACATGTTACAACCTTTTTTGTTGTCGTTCCTGGCACAACCATCAGAACATCTGCCAACTTGACAAGTTTCCACTCGAGGAAACAAATGCTACTGCCAACATCTTTCAGTTCATTGTAACTCACGCTGAACTTCGAAGTCATTGCTGGGAGAAACTTGTTGATCCAAAAATCATGACCGCCAGCAAACAAAAGATCATCGACATGAATCATGAAAGTGCTGTGCACTCCATCCACTGTGCACCTTCCAATGCAAGGTTGCTCCTTGCACCAGCAGCAACTCAAAACCTCAGAGACGTAGTTCCTGAAGTGCCAGTACCAAGCTTTTGCGCCTAAGCGCTGACCTGGAAGGTTCCGCAAGACCAGGTACTCAGTGTCATAGAGTTCGGCCCCGATGATTTTGTCGTGGGGCACCTGCAAGAAAGCATCCTTGATGTCCAGTGAAGCAAGTGTCACCTTGTATGAGCCACTGTTGCATGGTTCATCAGGCTCATCTCCCAACATCTTGAGGTAGATCAACGGGATCAAGTTTGAGGTGTGACACCCTGTTGCTGGAGCATACGTATGTATCACTGTGCTTTTTCACTTGCAAATTCTCGAGCCACGAAACGGCTCCTGCGCATCCATCTTTCAACTCCATCCTTGTGCATCTTCTTGCGCCAGTCACAGACGAAACGCGTTGTGAGCGTTCCCACACGCTCCAAGTTTGAGTCTGCTCTCCTTTGCAAAACGCCCCATGGAGAGTAGCCTGTTGATCTCAACTTCATCGGCTAACTTGTCAATCCAGTCAGGTGGTGCTGCTGGAGGCTTGTCCAATGGCGCATCAGACCACAGAGATTCTGGGACATCTGTGAGGCTCACTTGATCCTCATCAGCCTACAATTCATCCTCAGGGATGTCATCTTCCATGTTGAGCTCTGTCGTGTAATCATCCATTGTTGCAAACTCATCTGAACCAATCTTCACAACACGAATCATCGACTCGTTGAACTGCATGATCTGATTCAAACGTTGTTTCTTCTGTTGCTCTGTTTTGGTCTTCTTGGCATCCTGTTCAACATTTGTCTCATCATCATGCAAACGTGTGCCATGTGGTTGCCTGGGTGTTGGAGGCAACTGCATTGAAGACATTGGTGGTGTCACCGGAGCAGCTTGACCAACATCAGGTTGTATGTCCACTTGTGATTCCATCGCAGGGAGAAAAGAGGCATCAGTCACATCATCGTCAAAAACTGAATCAACAACAACTTCTCCTGCACGCACGGGCATTGAAGAGGAAGGAAGTGAAGAAGGAAACCCGTTGTCCTGATCGTCAACTGCAATGACATCAGGATTGGCACTGCTGACTCCAGTTTCACCTGTAACCTGCAATCCAGTGTTGACATCTTGTTCACCCATGGCTTTTGATTCTCGTTCTTCTGCCTTCTCTTCTATCATTTTCTACTTGGTTGCTTCAGCATCAGCGTCATGGAGTGGATGTGGCAAGATTGGTACTGAAGGTGGTTCAAAGCTTGCTGATTTTCCCGCAACAGTTTTCCTCGTAGGAATCACCCTGCCACCAAAACCGCTTTTGAACTGCCATGTCGGTGCATTGAAGTGCAAGTAAAATCCCAAGTGGCATTTCCAGTCTGTAGCTATGCGACGTATGGAACGTGTCAACATGATTGGGCTACCTGTGAAGACAATGTAGGCGTCCTGCGCCTCTGTTTTCCCAAGCACCAAACCTCGTTGCCATTTCGGGTTTCCCCCACTGTGTTCTCACACAAGCTGTTTCCGGGCCATTGGTGCCGCCTCAACTTCATCATGTCTTTCACGCTCCATCTCAACTGCTGCAAGTGGCATTTCATCCTCATCCAAATGTTTGAAACCCATCACCTGCGGTGGCCTCTCTGCAGAGGTGATGATGGTCAGGATGCAGCAGTCACCTTCATAGCCATGAAATTCAGCACACACGCCAGTTTCCAGAGGCCCGCAAAGTTCCAAAACTAACCACTGATTGTTGTCCTGAATGAGGGTGATTCGAAACTTCCCAGACATCGTTGGGCACGCAAGAGTTGGATCTTGACAGCAGCTTGCAAAGTGTTTGCAATTGCCAATTCCTTCAGGACTGAGATGCCAACCAGCACGCAAGTCTGTCAGTGAACTCAAAACATCTGCACGCACTGCTCTGATGTCCAAAGAATCTGGTTCATGTTGCACCATCCTAATCCAGCCACGCACGGTCATAGATCTGTTTTGCATCTCAATTCGAATTGCAATGTCACCAAATGTCAAAGTTTGTTGAACTCCATTGACATTCCACCCACCTTCCATTAGCTCGCCAAAGCACAAGATGGGCTTACTTATTTGGTCACTCAGCGCAACAGTCTCTTTCAACACAATTGCACGTCCATGCATGTCCATGAGATGCAACTCCACGTCTCGCATACCATGAAGTGGTATGTTGTTGCCTTGAGCATCCCTAAGATTACCAGGCAAAGCATCTGAAACTGATTCAAATTCTGTCATGGACGCTGGAAAAACTGAGATGTCGGCACCTGAATCAAGCAAGATATTGTGCATGTCACTGCCCTTATAGGGAAGCTTTCAACCATAGTACGCACCATGTTGTTTGACTCATTCAAGCTGTGAACATTTGGGCTTATCTCCGATATAGTATCTAACCACGCGGAAAGCTCCATCAACTGCCTGGGCATCATTGAAAGAATCTCTCAAATCAAAAACAAGCTCATCATATCTTCCAACATCTGAGATGTGATTAGAATCTGCAAAGTGAATTCTGGCAACACCTCCTCGCTGGGGCGCTACTGGCAGCTGTGCGCTCGTGGGCGAAGAAGGAGACGAAGGAGACCCAGCTGCTGTTGCATTGGGGCTCTGCTGCACAGGCTGCTGAACATCATTCTGAACCTGTCGAACATTTGGCGCCCAGCAATCGAGCAAAATTCCCGATTTTGCCACACTTATGACATGTCACTGAAGACCTGTCACCTTTGCCTTTCCCTGAGCCGTCATACTTCCCACTGTGCTTGCCCTTGGAGTCACTCTTCTGCTTTCCCTTTGAACTGGACTTACCATCTTTCGTCTTTGTTTTGCCTTTCACTTTTCCTTTTGGGGACCCTTTTGAACTTCCATTCTTTCCTTTGCCTTTGTCACCTTTCTTTCCACTGTTCCATCCACGGCCATCCGTATAGACACGGCCAACCTCCATTGGCATAATTCCAGAAGCATCATCTGAGAAAATCAAATTGCTCCATTTCTGTTGGCTGCGGTCCCACTTCAAGACCTGCTCTCTGAGCTCCTTGAACGTAGTTGTCTCCTGGATTTCCAGTTCCAGGTTCAGACACGCACTTCAAAAGGATAGCTTGTTGAAAGCTGACCTGGAATCGTAGAAGCGGCCTTTCTGGCCTCTTCCAGTGCCTCCTCAAGTTTCAACACCTGAGATTGTAGAAGCTGTCCCATGTTGAATGCAGGCCAGTTTGTCAATGCACCCATCAGCGCAAGTCCTCTGTTGTTGCTAGAGGGACGCAGTGTCAGTGTAAGTTGCCTGAAGGCTTCAAATCCATCAGCCTGTTTCACACTCCTCACAACATCGAGGCTTCTGTTCCTGCAGAGCGAGGCTAGAAGTCCATGGAGACGTGCACCTCGTTGACGTGTGTCCACTGAAACTGCTGACATGTCCAGTGGCTTCGCGTAAAACTTTGACACACAAAGTTAGATCGCGAAAACCGCTTTCAAACCTCTCGTGCTCAAAGTAAACCCAAACCAAAATATATAAACAAACGGTGATCGCTTCGGGTTTCTGCAGTCTCGACTCTCCCAGGCCGTCTCACGGCGACA